ACCACTTTAATGTCTCAATACAACGGATGGCGCAGCTGCATGATAGGTAGCATAAGGTTTATAGCGCTATGTAATAAGGAAGACTAATTCCCTGCCTTTTTAAGCTACCACTGCATAATTCACCAGCAAGAGACTAAATACAAAAGAGGTAATGGACATAGCATTCAATTCGAGAAAGTTGCCTCAGACGGCGCCTATTCCAACTGCAGCTCGATGAAAGTCAAGCTGAATTACAAGGTATCTAAAAACGTTCTTGCCGTTTTGGACAATCAGATAGAAAAAGTCATAAAACAAATTATAATCAACGGTAATATCACAAGTAATCACCATTGACATCCAGTGCCTTATGTCAATGAGTGGATAGCTGTGCAATGCCATCGCGGTAAAACTCGGGAGTCTTGGACGCAAAGAAGTTTTCGAGGGCCTTTTCGAGGTCTGGCCGGTTGTTGAAGGATTGTCTATGAAGATGGTTGTCCAGGGAAAAGAGTAGTCTGTTTGTGCGAGGTCTAGGGAGTATAGAGGATGGGTTAGTATCTCCCAGCTCAGTCGCTGGATGATGTCCCTGGCCTCCCAAGCCACCACATTCAGTCTCGCATTATCATGGAGGAGAAGTACACCCTTACAATTGACCAATGCTGACTCCTTATGCACACGTTACAACTGCTGCGCGTACAGGCTTGCCAAGATGGTTTGGCCCACTGGCAGGAACTCATAGTGCACTCTCTATGGCTGCTCTCAGTCTATCATTATCACTCTATCATCTTCCAGCGCTTGTAGCTGACCGGTGCGTGGTGTACGAGACATATCCCCTGACCTGAACTTCTGAAACCATTGCCTAGTGGTTCATTTGTTAATAGCATCATCCCCAAAGGCCTAACAAATTCGGCGACATGATTCTGCTGCTGAAAGGCCCTCTTTAAAAACATATAGCAAACACATGCGAATGAGCGCCTTTGATGTGTCCAATTTGATTAGTCGCTGTGTGAGTTATGTTTGAAGTACTGATGCAATGCATATTTATACTTTTGGTCAATGTCCAAACTCGCATCTTAATCACTTCATCACCAGGTTTGGCGACTATTTTTATGTTGGGGTTCACTCTTCCATTGCTATATCAGAAACGGCAAGAACGTTTTTGGTTACCTTGTATTACTACATACAATTGGATGTAGTCGGATGGCTAAGCAGAGGTAAATTTTTGCAGCAATTACATGATTTATTGCCTGAAGTTACAGATTTTCTTCACGAACAAGATGGAAACTGCGAAAATTTAAATGATGAAACTTAGCTTACTGTGCATTTCTTACTGATTTTACTTCAAAATTAAGTCATTTAAATTTAGAATTACAAGGTAAAAATAAAACAGAAATTGATATGATCAGCTGCATAGACACATATAAAACAAAATTAATTTTGCTAATAGAAGATTAGCAACAAAATAATCTGAATCATTTTCCAAATATGGCAGATAACCTAAAAAAACATAAAAATATTAATTATAAGATCGACAAATATGTCGCGGAAATCCAAAAAGTAACTGAAGATAACTGAAATAAGATACCAGGATTTTGGAAAAATTAAAGAAATTGGACTTTATCTTTTTGCCTTTAAAAAAGATTAAGTGTGACGCATAGCCAAAAATTTCAGACATATAATTTATAATTTTGCAAACTGCCTTAACCTTACAAGCCCGACAATTTGACAAAGATTTTTGGAAATATGTCAACCGAGAAAAATATCCTAGTATCACAAATAGCGAATGTATCTATTCTTGTTATCCTCTACATACCTATGGGAATCGGCATTTCGCACTTGAAACTAAAAGACAAACAGGTTCTGTCTGATTGATCAATACTGAAAACTTATTATTATCTTTCTCAAATATAACCTAATTATGATTCCTTGGTTAGGACATGCAATCTCAGTTTCCCATTAATGTTCGGCAACAAGTAAATTTAATCTGTCTTTATCTGAAACTACTTAATAAATATTGTTAATAATTATCCATGTTCTTTTTTTTTTCCCTTTGGCATGAATTTTTGAAATCTTTAAACAATTATTGTTGTTGTTGTTGTTTACGTAGGTAGATAAACCTTATATCTATTTTTCAGTACGAGGTATGCTCAGCGAGATTAAAAATAGATTGAAAATTTAAATTGTATTTTAAGTTAGTAAAAATTTATCTTGAAAAAGTGTAGGAAAACCAATTTTTTTTTTGGTACCACATGTATGGAATGCTGCTATTAAAAGTTGGGTCTGGAAATTTATTTTCTTCATGAGCCTATATCTCGAAAACTTAATAAGTGATTCAAAAAACAAAAAATAGCTTTTAACATATATTTTACTTATCTACCCATACCTCGCTGGAATGCACCTTATACTGAAACATGGTGTATAAACATTGTATGTATTTTACACCCTTCTCCCCCCTTAGACTACACCTATAACAACAAGTCGATCGCGACACACTTTTAAGATAAAAAGTAGGTCTTATATACGAAAAAATTGGCCACCCCTCGCCTACATCACTTCTGTCATGGGTGAGACACAAACTTTAAGAGTACATCTACCTAACGATTTGCTCAGGTGGTGCACATCATTATGACTATTACTGTTTTACATCACCTAGAAAGTGTATGCTTCTTTATGAATCACTCTGTATAATGGAATATCTGAAGTCCAAAATTTTTTTAATATAACTTTCTAATTATATTACTTGGTTAAAAAAAATCATAAAAAATCTAGTACAGTTAAATTTGGGTTAAATTGAATAAAAATTTAAATTTTAACAAATAAATTTGTTATTTTTGAATAAAAAATTACATAATTCTTATATACATAAATTTCTTATATTCTTACACACTTACATAAAAAATTACATACTTGCATTTAATGAACAAAAAAAAAGTTTTTGATGATCTTATTTATCATATAAAAGTGACATTATAATCAAAATTTTAATACCATAAAATCCATAAACCTGAGTAATCTGCCGACTTTCATGATTTCCACGTAGCAAAGTTATTTTATCAGGCCACCTACAAATATTATTTTTATCATTATTACACAAAAATTAAGAATTTCTTTCTAATTTGTAATACAATTATGTTTTATAAGAACTTCGAAAAATCAGAAATATTACAATTTGGTTAAGTCATCGCTGCAAATTATTATATAAAATGCACCTGCCCTTTAACTAGCATTTACGTTACTTTGTTCAAATCTTTACCATTATGTACATACAGGGTGATCAGCGAATAAGCCCTGATTTCAAAATTAAATATCTCTACAACAAAGATCGATAGAATTATGCGGTAAACTGTATGTTTATTAGCAAAACTGTAAAAATGGTGGACAAAAGTTTATAAAATTTAGTTATGAAAATCGTTAACAGATGGCGCTCTAATCGCAATGACCTGTCAATAGCCTTTAAAATATGCTTCGAAGTTGAAAGTGATCAGTACAACTGTTGGCTAGTGAAAAGAGGCTAGCGTAGAAAATGAAATAATGTATTCCATTGAACAACGTGTATTATAGTTCTGGAATTTCACCAATTAGAACACAATCCTACGGCAACACGTCACAGTTTTCAAAACCGATTCAAATGTTCCACTTGGACCTAATGTGAAAACTATTCGCAAGTTCTTCGCGAAATTCGAATGGACTGGCAGCGTGGCTGATGATCGAAAGAAAAAATGTTGGACCTAAGCAAACTATAGTCACCCCTGAAAATGCAGCCAAAGTTTCTGGATTTGTTCAGCAAAATCCTAGGAAAAGCATCTGACTTATTGCATCAGAGACAGGTTTGAAGTACACAAGCACACAAAAAATATTTAAAAATAGCCTACGTCTGTTTCCATACAAAATCCAAAGTTATCAGGCCATACCCTTGAAAGCTGTGCAACAAAGGGTTGACTTTGCGAATCATCTAACAATGATCGACAACAGATTTGATGTGAGCTGCATCTGGTTCACAGATACGGCACATTTTCATTTGAATGGAATCGTTAATAAACAAAACTGGAGATTTTGAGGTACTGAAACTCCTCATTTGTGTGAAGAAAAAGTACTGCATTCGCCTAAAGTTATGGCATGGGCTGCGGTATGCGCCAGAGGCATTATCAGACCCTTTTTCGTACGAGAAATGATAACTACTGAACGTTACGTTACAATTTTGGAACGATTTGTCAGCACTCAACTAGCGTTGGAGGATCGACCAGCTATCAACTGGTTCCTGCAAGATGGGGCTCGACCACATCGAACAAATAAAGTTTTTCACTTTCTTCATGAATACTTTGGGAATAGAGTAATTGCGTTAGATTATCCTCAATTTACTGACACAGAAATAGCTTGGCCTCCATATTCTCCCGATCTGAGTCCTTGTGACTTCTTTCTGTGGGGTGCATTGAAAGACGCTGTCTATCGAAAACAATCCTGCTACTCTAGATGAGCTTGAACTGTTGATTGGTGTTGCAAAAGATTCCATTTCCGTCGAGACACTGCAAGACGTGATGTCAAATTTCATTGTTCATTTACGCCACCTCATTGTTTCGAACGGTGAACATTTTAAAAAAAAATTGTATTTTGATTGCAAAGGCTGCTTCACTCTATTTTTTTAACTAATTTTTTTCACTCCTTTCAGAGAAAGTTTTCAGTGCAGAGCACCACCTGTAAACGATTTTCGTAACTAAATTTTCTAAACTTTTGTATACTATTTTTTACAGTTTTGCTAATAAATGTACAATTTACCGCATAATTCTATCGATTTTTGTTGTAGAGATATTTAATTTTGAGATCAGGGCTTATTCGCTGATCACTCTGTAAATACTGTAATTATGAAAATCTTTTACAGTAACATTTTCTAATAAACTGATCTTTTGACTAAATACATTCAAAAGCCAAGCCACATGATATAATTAAAAACATTTAATTTTGTTTTGAAAACAGTCTGACAAGTAAACCCTTCTCTCCTTTGATACCGATTTCCCGGAAACCCATATACTTTCTGAAAGCTTATTTCACAAGTAGAAAATCTGTGAAGTCTTAGGGGCAGAGGGACAAGCGTTTAGGAGCTACAGGACCCATAAAGTATCATTAAAGTGTGTATAGATGGACATATTCCCGTAATGAAGTCTCTATTTCTTGTATGTTCATGCATTGTCTGCTTCTGAATAACCTCATGGTAAAGTCCTACAAAAAGAACTGGTACCTGAAGGATGTATGGGAAATATCCAGTCTCTGTATATTCATTTCTTCAGACACTACAAATCTTTTGTTCGTTACATAATGGACACAAGCATTATCGACACACAGGAGCATATTCGGCATCGCGATAGGATTTGGGCAATGCAGACGTTTCACTATATCAGTTCTGCACTCATCGTTTCAAGAACTTGATTAAGTATGCTTTTTATAAGGGTGGATGCTTGGGTGACGAACTTGGACAGTGGATTGCGCCAATGGATTACTGCTTTGATTCATTGACATAATGATGAGTGTGCAAAGTGTGAGGCTATTGCTTTTGCAAAATGTGTCCAATGTTAACTTTCTCAATGTTTAATGAGTCGCACACTGACTGTCTCTCACAACAGATTTTGTCTGAAGTCAATAACAAGTCGCATTTTCAGCATCCCAATGTATATCGTTTCTTTTCAACAAGTTGTTTTTTCTTTTATATCAAGATTTTCACCTTCTTACCATGTTATTAGTTTATATAAATACATAAAATGAGCATTTCATCCATGTTTGGTGTCCTGTTTCCAACATTTTACTGATACATTGTGGGTCTTACAGCTCCTAAATGCTTGTTCTGCTGCCCTTAAGATTTCACAGTTTTTCTACTTGTGACATAAGCTTTCAGAAAATATATGGGCTTCTGGGAAATATACATCAAAGGAGAGAAAGTTTACTTGTGAGAGCTGTCAAAATTGTCAGCTTTTTTCTCATTAGTTAAAATAATATTTCAATCAGATTTTCATTATTATAAAACAGTCCTTGCTATCTTAAATGCTACATGAAAATTTCAGAATTTATTGACTGGAGTTTAGAAAATATATCTTTCTTGCGTACTTTACACTAATTTTTGGTACTTGTACATTTTATCATCAACTATTTCAACAAATTAAAATTGTCGTCAAACAATCCAATTTCATGCCAATAATGGATAAGCATGATATCATTGTTGGTATGCATATAGTGATGGACTGTCGCCAATACCACGATAAACTGTATGAAACTGGAAACCCTGCAAAAGAGTTAACTGTGTAACTCTCTTATTTTTTTACACCTTACATTTCTCACTCCTTCAGTATAGGACAATGATATGATACTCTCTATAATATAACTCCTTTTTTCAATATGTATTTGGAATACTAACGAATTTTATCTATTTTTCATGTATTAATAAAGACTGTGTTTTGTGATTTTACAATTTCCGTCTACACCTATTTTGGATTACAAGTTAATTAGGTATGATCTCGCTTGATGATGCGCTGGATAGAACAGTAAGAAGAATCATTTTGCTCTCTATTTTTATTAATTTGTTGTGAAATTTCGAGGCTATAAAATGTTTTACAACAAAAGATTATGAGTCCTGATGAAAAGATCATAGCTAATTAAATAATAATAAAAGAAAAAAAACTGTAAAAGCTAAACTGTAGTTTCATATTAAAATTGAAAATAAATTTTTCGACGATACAAAAATGTTGAATTCAAGTCAAATGCAATTTGCAAAACTGAATTCCAGCAATTATTCAACATGGAAATTCAAAATGCAAATGCTACTAATAAAGGAGGATCTTTACGATGTAATCGAAGATATACCTCCAAGCCCCATTACAGAACAATGGAGTAAACGGGATCGGCAATGTCGCGCGATGAGAAATTTATGTATCGAAGACAGCCAAATAATTCCCATTAAACATGAAACTACTGTTAAAGCCACCTGGGAAAAACTCAGGCAGGTACATGAAAGGTCTAATCTTTCAAGTAAACTATTTCTTTTGCGAAAGCTTTACAGTTTGAAGCTTGAAGAAGACGGAAATATGCAAACACATATAAATACATTACTGGAGTTAGTCGATAAACTCAAATCAATAGGTGAGAACATAAAAGACGAACACGTTTCAGCACTTTCGCTTTGTTCAATGCCTAGTTCTTACGATACACTTATTATGGCTCTTGAAGCCAGAGCAGAATCGGAACTGAATCCAGAATTCTTAAAAGGGAAATTAATTGACGAATTTAACAAGAGAGTTGAAAATAATTCATCAGATTCAAAGGCATTTAAAGCTTCATTTCAAAACAAGACAAAGAGAGAAAAGTTTTGCTCATATTGTCATAAAAATAACCATTTTAGATCAGAGTGTTATCATCTAAAATCGAAACAAAGAAATGAACCACGCCAAACTCAAAGAAAACATACGCGGATTCTAAAACACGCCAAGCAAAGAATATAGGTAACCTCGCAATGAACCAACAACAAACAAAAAATTAAAACACCGGAAATTGAATCCAGATGTGACAGCGTCGCTCTGTCTATTAACTACACCGTACATCAATCATCCGAGAGTTTTATTTTTGACAGCGGAGCAAGTAATCACCTGGTAAATAATAAGAAATATTTCATGGAATGTAAACCCATAAATCCATCAGATATTATAACTGCGAATGGGCAATGTATTAAATCAACGGTGATAGGAACTGTCCGTTTTAAAACATTAAATGCTAAACAAAAAATAACTGAAGTTCTCTTATCAGAAGTTTTATACGCTCCTGAATTAGGAACAAATTTAATCTCAATTAAGAAAATAACAGAAAAAGGACTTTGGTTCTATTTGAAGGAAATAAACGTATGTGTGGTGATGGCGATAAGGAGCGCGCCTTGCACCCTCCAATAAGTGTGGCAACCCTAGAGGAGAAGTTTCTTACGAGTAGCGAGCAGAGCGAAACAGGCAGGCTGTCAGGCAGTGTGCGCGAAGTTCCGAAATAAAGCTTAATTTTTATTGTGCACTATGTCTTGTTAATATTTATATTAATG